GAAGAAATAGAAAATCTGAAGTAGACTAATAATAAGGAAGGCATTTGAATCAGTAATCAAAATTTCTCATCAAAGAGAAGTCCAAGTCCTGATAACTTCACTGCTGAATACTACCAAATATTTAAAGATGAATTAATATCAATCCTTCTTAAGCTCTTCCAATAAATTGAAAAGGAGGGAGCACTTCTAAACTCATATTACAAGATTAGTGTTACCCTTGTACCACAACCAGACAAGGACACTACAAGAAAAGAAAATTACAGATCAATATCCCTGATGAACATAGATGCAAAAATCCTCAACAAAATGCTATCAAACCAAATTAAACAGCACATTAAAAGGATCAAACACTATGATCAAATGAGATTTATCTTTGGCATGCAAAGATGGTTCAACATATGCATATGAATAAATGTTATACACCACATTGACAAAATGAGGAACAAGCATTATATGATCTTCTCAGTAGATGAAAAAAGCATTTGACAAAATTTAACATCATTTACTGATAAAAACTCTTAACAAAATAGATATAAAAGGAATGTACTTCAACACAACAAGGGCTGTATATCACAGTTGTATGACTAACATCATACTCAGTAAGGAAAACTCTAACGTATTTCTCTAACAAGACAAGCATACTCACTCTGACTCTCACCACTTCTCTGCAACATACTGGAAGTTTTAACCAGAGCAATTAGGCAAGTGAAAGGAGTAAAAGGCATCCAAATTAAAAAAGGGAGATGTAAAATTATCTCTGTTTCCAGAGGACTTGACATTATGTATAGAAAACCCTAAAGACTCCATCATAAAACTGTTAGAACTAATAAATTTAGACAAGATACAGGATATAAAATAAATATAAAAATTAGTTATGTTTTTGCACACTAACAAGAGTTATCAAAAAAGTAATTCAGAAGAAAATCCTATTTACAGTAGCATCAAAAAGAGTAAGATACCTAGGAATAAATTTAACCACGGAGATGAGAGATCTGTACACTGAAACTATAAAACATTGATGAAAGAAATTGAAGAAGAAACAAATGGGAAGATATTTCATATTTGTGGATTAGAAGAACTAATATTGTCAGAATATACATATGATCCAAAACAATCTACAGATTCAATGCAATTTCTATCGAAATTTCAATATAATTTTTCACAGAAATAGACAGAAAAATCCTAAAATTCCTTTAGAACCATGAAAGACTCTAAATTTATAACAGAAGCAATCTTGATCAAGAAGATCAAAGCATCACATTTGCTGATTTCAAATTATATTACAAAGCTATAGTAAGCAAAACAGTATGGTAGCATAATAAAAATAGATATATAAGCAGGAGGAAGAGACCAGAAATAAACCCATGCATATACAACCAATGAATCTTTGACAAAGGCAACAAGAATACACAATGGGGACAAGGATAGTCTCTTCAACAAATAGTCTTAAGAAAACTGGATATTCACATGGAAAAGAATTAAATTGGACCATTATCTTAAATCATACACAAAAATCAACTCAAAATATATTAAAGACTGAGACATAAGACACGAAACTGTATAACTCCTAAGAGAAAATATAGGGGAAAATCTTTATAACATTTGTCTTGGCAATAATTTATTGGATATGACACCAAGTGCACAGGCAACAGAAGCAAAAATAAAGTGGGACTACATCCATTTAAAGTGTATCTGCTCAGCAAAGGAAACAACAGAGTGAAAAGGTAGCCCATGGAGTGGGAGGAAGTATTTGTAAGCCATACATAAGGGGTTAATATCCAAAATTTATAAGGAATTCATACAATTCTGTAGCAAAATACTAAGTAACTTGATTAGAAAACGAGCCAAGGACGTAAGTAGGCATTTCGCCAAAGAAGACGTGAATGTCCCACATATGAAAAGATGTTCAACATCAGTAATCATCAGGGAAATGCAAATCAAAACCACAGTGAGATATCTCTTCATACCTGCAAGGGTGGCTATTATCAAAAAAGCAGAACATGTTGGCGAGGATGTGGATTGGCATCCTTGTGCACTGTAATGTAAATGGGAATGTAAAATGGTGCAACTGTTGTGGAAAACAGTATGGAAGTTCCCCAAAAAGTTTAAACTACCATGTATTCCAGCAATCTCACTTACAGATATTTATCCAAAAGAATTGAAAACAGGACCTGGAAGAGATATTTTCAATCCTTTGTTAATTGTGGTAGCATTCACAGTAGCCAAGAAGTGGAAATAAACTAATGTCCATCAACAGATAAATGGATAAACCCCGTCTCCACTAAAAAATACAAAAAACTAGCCGGGCGAGGTGGCGGGCGCCTGTAGTCCCAGCTACTCGGGAGGCTGAGGCAGGAGAATGGTGTGAACCCGGGAGGCGGAGCTTGCAGTGAGCTGAGATCCGGCCACTGCACTCCAGCCTGGGTGGCAGAGCGAGACTCCGTCTCAAAAAAAAAAAAAAAAAAAAAAATGGATAAAGCAAATGTAGCTTATACATGCAATGGAATATTATTTAGCCTTAAAAAGGAGAAAATGTTGTCATTATGACAGCTGAATAAGCCTGGAGTACATTATGCTAAATGAAATAAGCCAGACACAAAAAGACAAATACTGTATCATCCAATTATATTTAGAATTTGATAAAGTTGTACTGATGGAAACAAAGTAGAAGGGTGGTTACCGGAGGGCTTGGAGTGGAAAAATAGGGAGATGTTGATCAAAGAGTACAAACTTGCGGTTATAAAATCCTTCAGTTATAGAGACCTAATGTACAGCATAGTGACTATATTTAATAATATATACTTGAAATTTGCTAAGATAGTAGATCTTAATTTTTCTTATCAGAAAAAGTAATAGATAACTGTGAAAGTTGATGGGTATATTAACTTGATTGTGGTATTTTGCAATGTATCTATGTCAAAACATCATGTTATATACCTTGGTATATACAGTTTTTGTCAATTATACCTCAATGAAGCTGGTAGAAAGGGCGAAGAAGCTGATAATGCAGCAGGGGAAGTAGAGAGTTTTTGAGGAAAATTGGAAAGGCCAGAATGGATAAATCATGAAACATTAGAACAGAACAAATTTTAGAGATCATCTAGTCCTATTCTCTTTACAGATAAGAACACAGAGGTCCTCTAGAGACTATACAGCTAGAAAATTGAATAACAAGTGTGAAAAATACTTTTGACTTCAAGTCTTGATATTTTTCTACTGTCTCTAAAATATTACAAAATTTTAATCCATATCTTTAGAATTATTTTATTAATCATTTCAAGTTCTTTCTGGAGGTAGGCAGGACACAAATAAGTAACATTCTTTTAATCCTGTTAATACTTTAAAAATGGCATTATGTGAACATTTCATTTTTAAAATGAAGGTTTGACTGAAAACACATTATATGTTCAGTATTGCAGCCTTATAAGCATTGTTTACAAGTGAGATGTTATCTAGAAAGTGAAAATCACGAAAATTAAAATTATAATGCCAAAATTCTCCGACTCTGAAGACAGTGATACAGATACTGTTGTTTTTCTCAAACCTAGGAGAGTTGCATAATCTGTGATAGCCTCTAGCTAAAAATGGATATATATCTTCCTATAACAAAAATATTGTAGAGTGAAAGAATGACAACTTCGGAAGAACAATCATTTTTCTCATTCACATACAAACAGTAAAAGCAATTTCTATCGTAAGTAGCCATTTATCTTCATTCCTATTCCATATGTATTTATTCATACTGTCTCATTACATTCTAGTATTAGGCCGGGTGCAGTGGCTCACACCTATAATCCCGGCACTTTTGGAGGCTGAGGTGGACGGATTGCGTGAAGCCAGGAGTTTGAGACCAGCCTGGCCAACATGGTGAAACTCCATCTTTATTAAAAATACAAAAATTAGCTGGGCATGGTGGCACATGCCTGTATTCCCAGCTTCTTGGGAGTCTGAGGCATGAGAATCATTTGAACCTGGGAAGCAGAGGTTGCAGTGAGAGAAGATCATATCACTGTACTCTGGCCTGTGTGACAAAGCCAGACTCTGTCTCAAAAAAAAAAAAAAAAAAAAATCTGGTATTGTTCAAAACCCCTTGGGTGTGTTGTGATTTTACCTTTTTGGATTTTGGATACATCAGTCACAAAATGGTTATACTTTGTAATAAAAATGGATGCTTCACAAGAATTTATATTGGCTACATTCCATCTTAAATACTTTTGCTTTAATGAACACAAAAACTATGTAATATTTTAATTCAAGAAGAATTGATCTTATTTTCTAATTTTTTCAAACTCTGCTGTAACATTTAAAAGTAACATGTATGGGCTGGGCGTGGTGGCTCATGCCCCTAATCCCAGCTCTTTGGGAGGCTGAGGCAGGTGGATCATTTGAGGTCAGCAGTTTGAGACCAGCCTAGCCAACATTGTGAGACCCTGTCTCTACTAAAAATACAAAAATTAACTGGGCGTGGTGGTGTGCACCTGTAGTCTCAGGTACTTGGGAGGCTGAGGCAGGAGAATTGCTTGAAGCCAAAAGGCAGAGGTTGTGGTGAGCCAAGATAGCATCACTGCACTCCAGCCTGGGCAACAGAATGAGACTCTATCTCGAAAATATATAAATAATTAAATAAAAATAACATGTATGGAATACAGAAATCTTTGTAGAATTTATGTAAAATCAACAGACTTTTCTTATTTTCTTTTATGTAGCTCATGAATTTCACTTAAAGCTATACCTACCTATAATAATTGTACTGTTACTAAGTTGCTTAGAACTACTTAGTAGGACTCTACAGGCCTGGATGTTCTCTTTAATAAATTCAGGTTATCTAGTAATGCTTATTTCTACATTATTTCTGTTGTCCTAATGAAGTTTTCATTATGTTTTATATGTACATTTTAGTAGCTTTCTTACTAGCTAATTGTTCTGCTTCTATTTTCTCTGCATCTCTTCCAAAACACAAATTAAATGTAAGACATTGTCAATCTGCTATAACAAATTACCATAGACTGGGTGCCTTCAACAACAAACATGTATTTCTCACAGTTCTGGAGGCTAAAAACTCCAAGATCAAGGTGACAGCAGGTCCTATATCTGATGGGGGAGTGCTTCCTGGTTTTCAGATGGCTATCTTCTCACTGTATCTTCACATGGTGAAGAGGCAAGGTAAAAAAGCAAACTCTGTGCTATTTCTTATTGTAATGACATTAATCCCATAATGAGGGCTGTCCTCTAATGACCTAATTACCTCCCAAAGGCCCCATCCTCAAATGTAATCATCCTGGGGGTGGGATACAACACTTTCTTAATTCCTAGAATTTTTACTTTATAGTTATTTAAAAAGTTATTTTGGATGGTGGATGGGAGACAGAACTAGATTGCAGCTTCAACTCGGATGGAGAGAACAGTGTGTGGAGGCTTGCATCATGAATTTTTGCTCCAGAATGACTGCAGGAATAAATCGAGAAACCTGAGAGGAGCCATAGACCCTCTGAAGGAACCAGATTGCTCCTGCAAGACCCGGAAGACACCTCAAATACTGCAAAGTGGGAAAGGGAAATTGTCTGCCCCCAAATACACACCTCCACGGGGGAAACTGAAGATCTAGATTATAGGAGAAGATGCTGGCCTTACCTGGAGCTGAGTCCATTTATAGAGCCGAGTGAAATACAGGGGTAGAGGAAGCAGCAGGAAAAGCCCTGTGAGCTCACTGGGTCCCCTAGAAAGCCATATCTGCCTGGCCTCACAGGGTTCCTTCAGGAGGGTGGCCAGAAGCACTGAGAACAGGCCACAGGGAGAAAGCAATATCCAGCTGAACTTTGTAATGATTTGAAATGATCAAGAGGCCTCCTTGCCAAAACTTGGAGGAGGGCATGAATCCGGTGTGCAGACTCTACAGGTGGGTAACAAGGAAAGCCATACTTGCTTTTGCAACTGGGGGGTGGGTAGCCTGGGGCAAGTTCTCAGCCCCACTTGTCCACTGCCTGGAAACAGACTCGGTGATGTTGGTAGGGGAATGGTGGGGGTGAGACTAGCCCTTCAGATTGTTTGGGAGCTGGGTGAGGCCTGTGACTCTGGCTGTCCCCCACTTCCCTGACAACCTGCATGACACCGCATAGACAGCCATAATCCTGCTAGGAACATAGCTCCTTTGACCTGGGAACCTCACCCCCATCCTCCACAGCAGCTGCAGCAAGACTCACCCAAGGAGAGTCTGAGCTCAGACATACCCCCACCCAATGGTTCTTTCCCACCCATCCTGGTAACTGAAGACATATGGCATATACTCTTGAGAGTTCTAGGGCCCCGCCCACCACCTGTTCCTTTCCATACTGCCACAGCTGATGCTCTCTGGAAAGCATCACCTCCCAGCAGGAGGCCAACCAGCACAAAAGTAGTGCATTAAACCATCAAAGCTAAGGAACCTCACAGAGTCCATTTCATCCCCCTGCCATCTCAACCAAAACAGGTGCTGGTATTCGTGGCTGAGAAACCCAGAGGTGGTTCACATCACAGGACTCTGTGTAGACAACCCCCAGTACCAGCGTGGAGTCTGGTAGACTTGCTGGGTGGCTAGATCCAGAAGACAGATAATCACTACAGCTCAGCTCTTAGGAAGCCATGTCCATAGGAAAAAGGGGAGAGTACTACATCAAGGTAATACCCCATAGGACAAAATAATCTGAACAATAGCCTTTAACCCTAGACCTTCCATCTGACAGAGTCTACTCAAATGAGAAGAAACCAGAAAATCAACTCTGGTAATATGACAAAGCAAGGTTCTTTAACACCCTCAAAAAATCACACTAGCTCACCAGCAATGGACCCAAACCAAGAAGAAATCCCTGATTTACCTGAAAAAGAATGCAGGAGGTTAGTTATTAAACTAATCAGGGAGGCACCAGAGAAAGATAAAGCTCAATGTAAGGAAATAAAAATAAAAATGGTACAAGAAGTGAAGGGATGAACATTCAGCAAAATAGATAGCATAAACAGAAAAACAATCAAAACTTCAGGAAACAGTGAACACAATGAAATGCAAAATGCTCTGGAAAGTCTCAGCAATACAATGGAACAAGTAGAAGAAAGAATTCAAAACTTGAAGATAAGATCTTCGAATTAACCCAATCCAAAAAATACAAAAAACAACAAAAAGAAAAAATGAACAAAGCCTCCAAGAAGTCTGGGATTATGTTAAATGACCAAATCTAAGAATAATTGGTGTTCCTAAGGAAGAAGAGAAATCTAAAAGTTTGGAAAACATATCTGGGAGAATAATCAAGGAAAGCTTCTTCAACCTTGCTATAGACTTAGACATTCAAATACAAGAAGCACAAAGAATACCTGGGAAATTCATCACAAAAAGATCATCGCCTAGGCATTGTCATCAAGTTACCTAAAGTTAAGATAAAGGAAAGAATCTTAAGAGCTGTGAGACAAAAGCACCAGGTAACCTATAAAGGAAAACCTATCAGATTGACAGTAGATTTCTCAGCAGAAACCCTACAAACTAGAAGGGATTGGGGCTCTATCTCCAGCCTCCTCAAATAAAGAATTATCAGTCAAATATTTTGCTTCCAGCAAAACTATGCTTCATATATGAAGGAAAGGTACAGTCTTTTTCAGACAAACAAATGCTAAGATAATTTGCCATGACCAAGCTACCACTACAGGAACTGCTAAAAGAAGCTCTAAATCTTGAAACAAATCCTGGAAACACATCAAAACAAAACCTCTTTAAAGCATAAATCTCACAGGACCTATGAAACAAAAATACAGCTTAAAAAAACACAAAAACAAACAAAAAACAAGGTATGCAGGTAACAAATAGAAAGAGGAATGGAATGGAACCCCACATCTCAATATTAACATTGAATGTAAATGGCCTAAATCCTCCACTTAAAAGATGAAGAATTGCAGAATGGATAAGAATTCACCAGCCAACTATCTGCTGCTTTCAAGAGACTCACCTAACACATAAGGACTCATATAGATGTAAGGTAAAGGGATGGAAAAAACATTTCACACAAATTGGCACCAAAAGCGAGCAGGAGTAGCTATTCTTATATCAGACAAAACAAACTTTAAAGCAGCAGTTACAAAAGACAAAGAGGAACAAAATATGATGATAAAAGGCCTTGTCCAACAGGAAAATACCACAATCCTAAATATATATGCACCTAACACTGGAACTCCCAAACTTATAAAACAATTACTAATAGACCTAAGAAATGAGATAGACAGCAACACAGTAATAGTGGGGGACTTCAATACTCCACTGAGAGCACTAGACAGATCATCAAAACAGAAAGTCAACAAAGAAACAATGGGTTTAAACTATACCCTGGAACAAATGGACCTAATGGATTTATACAGAACATTTCATCTGACAACTGCAGAATATACAATCTTTTCAGCAGCACATGGAACTTTCTCTTAGATAGACCATATTATAGGCCACAAAACAAGCCTCAATAAAATTAAGAAAATTGAAATTATATTAGGCACTCTTTCAGACCACAGTAGAATAAAACTGAAAATCAACTCCAAAAGGAACCTTCAAAATTATGCAAATACATGGAAATTAACCTGCTCCTGAATGATCATTGGGTCAAAAATGAAATGAAGATGGAAATTTAAAAAATCTTCAACCTAAATGACAATAGTGATACAACCTATCAAAACCTCTGGGATACAGCAAAGATGCTAAGAGGAAACTTCTTAACCCTAAATGCCTATCTCAAAAAGTCTGAAAGAGCACTAACAGACAATCTATGGTCACACGTCAAGGAATGAGAGAAACAAGAAAACAACCCAAACCCAGCAGAAGAAAGGAAACAACCAAGATCAGAGCAGAGCTAAATGAAATTGAAACAAACAAACAAAAAATACAAAAGATAGATGAAACAAAAAGCTAGTTCTTTGAAAAGGTAAATAAAACTGATAGACTATTAGCAAGATTAACCAAGAAGAGAGAAAATCCGAGTAAGCTCAATATGAAATGAAATGGGAGATATTACAACTGACACTAAAGAAATACAAAATATCATTCAAGGCTACTATGAACACCTTTACACACATAAACTAGAAAACCTAGAAGAGATGGAAAAATTCCTGGAAAGATACACCCGTGTTAGCTTAAATCAGGAAGAATTAGATACCCTGAAAAGACCAATAACAAGCAGCAACATTGAAATGGTAATTTAAAAATTACCAACAAAAATAAGTCCAGGATGAGACAGATTCACAGCAAAATTCTGCCAGACATTCAAAGAAGAATTGGTACCAATCCTGTTGACACTATTTCACAAGATAAAGAAAGAGGGAACCCTTCTTAAATCATTCTATGAAGCCAGTATCACCTTAATACCAAAACCAGGAAAAGAAATAAGCAAAAAAGAAAACTACAGACCAATATTCCTGATGAACATAGATGCTAAAATCCTTAACAAAATACTAGCTAATCAAATCCAACAACATATTAAAAAATAATCTGCCACGATCAAGTGAGTTTCATGTCAGAGATGTAGGGATGGTTTAACATATGCAAGTCAATAAATATGATATACCACATAAACAGAATTAAAAACAAAAATCACATGATTATCTCAATAGATGCAGCAAAAACATTTGACAAAATCCAGCATCCTTTTGTGATTAAAACTCTCAGCAAAATCAGCATACAAGGGACAAATCTCAGTGTAATAAAAGCCATCTTTGACAAACTCACAGCCAACATAATACTGAATGAGAAAAAATTGAAAGCATTCCCTCTGAGAACTGGAACAAGATAAGGATGCCCACTCTCACCACTCCTCTTCCACATAGTACTGGAAGTCCTAGCCAGAGCAGTCAGAGAAGAGAAGGAAATAAAGGGTATCCAAATCAGTGAAGAGAAAGTCAAACTGTTGCTATTTGCTGATGATGTGAGTGTTTACCTAGAAAACCCTAAAGACTTCTCCAGAAAGCTCCTAGAACTGATAAAATAATTCAGCTAAGTTTCAGGATACAGAATTAATGTACACAAATCAGTAGCTCTTCTATACACCAACAGGAACAAAGCTGAGAATCAAATCAAGAACTCAACCCCTTTTACAATAGCTGAAAAAAATTACTTAGGAATATACCTAACTAAGGAGGTGAAAGACATCTACAAGGAAAACTAC